CCAATGCACATTAGTAGGAAGTTGGACTGGAAGTTGAGTGTCTCTGATTCAAGCCAGTCTCCTGATATGAGATACCAGGTTGCCAGAGTGAGAAGAAGTAATGATTGAGGTAGCAGTAGTGCTGAAGGTGGTGAGACTAAATAGGTTGCAAAAATGGGACCCCATATATACTATCAGACAGTAATGAGAATCTTGATTTTTAAATGCCATATGAAAAGTCATGCCTTTGAAAGATATTGATTAGGGAATTAACAGCATGCAATATATGATTAAATGTTCACATTGACTAGTGTACAGAATACATATCATAGAAATTAGATCACAAATAAAGAGAACAATATCAGCTAATTGTGTTTTTGTAGATGTTAAACACAAAGTACAATTATTTACATTCTAGATATATAATGAAGGCAGAGCTTCCTAAAATTGATGTTGTTTGAAGCAAATATAAAGCAAAAAATGTGGAAAAAGGGAAAAAGTCAGGGATTGCACTCCTTGTTCAGGATGAGCAAATGCAAACTTAAAATTGTCATTTACTAGGATGGAAAATGGAGAGCTTGTGCAAAAGAAGTAAAATTCAAGGTTAGTGATCACTATGTCTTTTTTGAGTTGTCTGATAGATGGTATCTGATTTTTTAAAAATTATTTATTTGAAATTCAGAGTTACAGAGAGGAAGAAAGGCACACACACACTCTCTCTCTCTCTGTCTCACACACACACACACACACATACACACAGAAAGAGAGAGAGAGAGAGAGAGAGAGAGAGAGAAATCTTCTATTCACTGGTTCACTCCCCAGATGGCTGTAATGGCCAGGGATGAGACAAGCTGAAGCTAGGAGCAAGGGAACCAGACCTCCCCTTGGGCAGCAGGGACTCAAACACTTGGGCCATCATCTGCTGCTTTTCCCAGGCCATCAGCAGGGAGCTGCATAAGAAATGGAGCAGTCGGGACTCAAACTAGTGCCTATATGGGATGTCAGTGTCGTAAGTGGCAGCTTTTTACACTATGCCATGTTAGCCCCAATATCAGATATTGAAGTCATGATATCAGAGAAATGTTGCCTGGAGATGTACAGGTGGAAGATAGATGGAAAATATAAATCAATGAAACTGAATGTGTAAGTGTGGTTAAACATCAGTTACAGTGACTAAGCTCTGGAACCTTCCAGTACTTAGTGGTTGGGGAGTGAAATAAAAATAAGCAAAGAAAACTGAGAAGCAACCAAGGAAAGAGGAAGAAAACCAGAAGGCTGCTTGAAGTCAAATGGCAGAAATGTTTTTAGGGGAAAGCATCTCTAAATTAATAAAACACATGTGAAAGGCAAAATCAGATGAGGCAAGAACATTGTACAACTGGTTTGAAGAAATGACTACCACTGATGCTTTTGAAAAGAACAATTTAGGTGGCATTTAAGACATAAAATTCTGATTAAAGTGCAAGAGATAACAGCAGGCTTCTGTGTTTACAAGAGTCATCCATCAGTGAAAAATGATTACTAAGAGTAAACAAAGAAAATTATGGAAAGGTATCTTTAAGTAGAAAGGATTTGAGCTAGTTCCTCCCTACAAAAAGCACGGCCCTTGGCCTAGCAGGTGTGATGCCACCTAAGAGTTGAGCAGCAGTGCCAATTCTCAGGTCCTACTCCAAACACTCAGGCATATGGAGCCTGAATTTCATTTTACCATGATCTACCAATGAACTTTAAAGAGTTAGATTTCCTGATAAGCCCATATAAGTGCATGATGGTTTCTAATATATTACATAATACAAACAGCTATTAGTTAATTATATGTTAGTATTTTCACGATGGTATTTAGATGCATCATTATAAAACCAGCCTATGAATTAATTTTCCTTAAAAAATGAGGAAACAGAGAGAAATAGAAATGTCAACTATATGAATCTTTTATTGTTATTTGGTCATATGGCAATAACAAATGTTCTTCCATCTTGGATTTTTTATTATTATTATTTTTTGACAGGCAGAGTGGACAGTGAGAGAGAGAGATAGAGAGAAAGCAGGCACAAGACATCTGCTAGAGCCTGAAGGACCCACAGATACTTAGACTCACCAGTAAGTCTCACCCTGGCTCTCGTTGGCACAGGTACTTTGACCTTTCTTAAAGTGATTGGAAACATACATTTCTACTTGGTATATTAAGGTGAAGAACTTTCTATTTGTTAAAAATGTATGTTGACACAAATTCATTAACTAAACTACTTCTACATATATATGTTAAAACAAAGTTAAGAATATCAAAATCTTGCAGAATGCTTACTACCATGTTTGTAAACCTACTTTTTTTAAAGTAATGTTTCTCTCTTGCTTTTTAAAGATGTGGAATAGTGATCTCTCTAAATTTTACTTGTTGAAGACTAAGGTTAGTGATGCATTAAGCTTGTCATTATAAGATAAATTGAAAGTATGTTATTACAAAAACTAAAGGAAAAAAAGAAAGAAGGAATGAGGGGAAATTCAGGAAAGGAGGGAACTATAATTATTTTCTTGGAATTGTAACTATGAAATACATGAAATCTGTTCTCTTTAATATTAGTAAAAATTTTAAAAAGTAAAAAAAAATTATTTATTTATTTGAAACAATTACCGACAGAGAGAGGGAGAGACAGAGAGTGAGAGAGGACTTCCATCCACTGTTTCACTCCCAAAATGTGCACAACAGCCAGTATTGAGCCAGGCTGAAGCCAGGAGCCAGGATCTTCATCTCGGTCTCCCACTGGGGTGGCAGGGGACCAAGTTAATGTGCCATCTCCCATTGATTTTCCCTGGTGATTAGCAGGGAGCTGGATTAGAGGTAGAACAGCCAGGAAATGAACCAGTGCCCATACAGGATGCCAATGTTGCAAGCGGTGGCTTTACAAGCTATGCCACATCTCCAGTAGTTTTTCTTGTTTGAGCTTTTTACACATTTCTCTGTTTCCTACAGGGAGTGTTAAGGAGTTTAAACTTAAATAGTCAACATAACCTTTCTGAGTTGCAAGAAATGAAGGCAATGTATTTATTACATAGTCTCTCCAGTTTAAAACAGTATTTAACTTTGATTGAAGTGATTTAAAAACCTTGGACTTCTAAATCACAATTGAGTATTTTCACAGTAAAAGAGATCTGCTAATGTGATGACTGGAATATAATTTATAAAATTATCATCAAACTGAGTAACATAAGCCTATTCGAATGGCCAAAATTTTTAAAATTCATTACCAATTGCTTATGAGATTTTAAAATACTTTAGATTTTATATATTGGGGTAGGAATGTAAAATGATGAAGCTGATTTTACAAAATTACAAAATTACTACTCCACAATCTCAACTCATTGTATTTATCCAAAGATAATATGTATCTTCACAAAAACAGCTTCCATCACTTTTAACAGCTTTACTGATAATTACCTTGAAGAAGATACAGTGCAAATTTCCAGAAATGATGAATAAGTGAATATATTATAATACAGCCATACAATAGCATAAGAATAAAAACTTGTGTCCAGCAAAATGGGATTATCCCAAAAGCACAATGGAAAGTAAAAGAAGTAAGATAAAAAGAACAGTACTCTGAGTGATTATATTTGTATTGTAATGTGCCAAAGAAAAAATTAAATGCATAGGAATGACAATAGTGGTTGCAGAGACCAGAGGTTACCTGGGGAGGGAATTGATACCAAAAAAATCCGAAGGATAAATTTTAGGTGCTCTACATATGTAATATACACACACATTTAAACCAGTGAAATTGAACAGTTAAACAGGAAATTTTACTGTCTGTATAGTGTAACTCAATGAATCTGACTTTAAAAAATGAAAAGCACATACACAATTATCAATTCTAAAACAATAGTGCACTATCTCATTTTGAAAAGTTTACTGAATAGGCTTTAAGCTGATGTGTCTACGTATTCCCAGTCTAAAAATCATCCGGGGGGGCCAGCGCTGCCCTGGCTTGAAGCGCCGGCATCCCATGTGGGCACTGGTTCAAGACCTGGCTGCTTCACTTCTGATCCAGCTCTCTGCTATGGCCTGGGAAAGTAGTAGAAGATAGCCCAAGTGCTTAGGCCCCTGTACCCGCATGGGAGACCTGGAGGAATCTCCTGGCTCCTGGCTTCAGATGGGCACAGCTCTGGCTGTTGCAGCCAATTGGGGAGTGAATCATCAGATGGAAAACTCTCTCTCTCTCTCTTCTCTCTCTCTCTCTGCCTTTCCTCTCTGTGTGTAACTCTGACTTTCGAAATAAAAATAAATAAATCTTTAAAAAAGAATCATTCAGGGCCTGTTCTGTGGCTTAGTGGTTAAACTTGCTGGAAGATGTACAGCTGGAACGCAAAACAGTGCCCATATGGGATGCTGGTGATACAGCACAATGCTGGCAACTAGCTTTGAACTTAGTAAGGGGAACAACATGACATACCACATATCATCAGATGCTTTGCTTAAAGAACGCATTTATATTTTTTCATTGTAGAACCTCTGTACTACTCATGATAATAGACTAATGCAAAGAAGTGTCTTTTTAAATCAACAGGTTAAAAATCTATACTTAAATAAATTAGATTCAATTTTCACTCCTTATAATCCTAGGAAGAGTGTTGTCAGGGTAAAAGAATGCCATATGAAAAATAAAGATTATGACATAAAGTTAAATGTATTTGGATATGCCACAATAATTAGCAGAAAAGCCTAAGGAATGCAAATTCCAAAACTAAAAACACCATTGAGATTTTCCTTTTTAGTAATGATTTTAATCAATTGTAAATTTATTTTTGCTGTAAAATATGTACTTGACAGATGGTAATTTTAAATGCAAATATTCTATATCTAAAGGAGAATAGTAAAATGTCTATTTTGATATTATCCAGTAGGTAAGTGGCTTCATAATAGATGAAATTGCTTTGATTGTCTGCAAATACATTTGCCTTCTCTACCATTGTATCAGTAAGGACATGAAAAATAAATGCAAAAAAAAGTGGGAATAGTTATTTACCTTTCTCTTGAAGAGAGATCAGAGAGAGAAGAGTAGATTTGTCCACCTATAAATAATGAACAGATTGTACAACGAAACTTCTAATGCCATATATTGACTTTTTTAAGTTAGACTCATTAGTAAAAACTTACTTTTATCAAAAAACCTAAAGAAAAATGAGTATATAAACAATTTCCAATTTTAATGTGCTTATATATGCTAATGATATAGCCATCAGCCAGGAAACAAAGAGAAAATAGTTTTTCTGTGTAAATTGTTTCTGCAGGTTGGTTTTCTGATTTACTTCCCTAAAAACATTAGGGCATTAGTGAATTCATTGAATTTAACACATTCTGTGTCTGCATAATATTAGAATAAAGAAAATATAATGGCAATGTTGGGCACTGAAGCATAATTAAAACTGTGCTTCTAAAGCAAAATTTCTTTCATCAGTCCATAGAAGTAAAGCGTAAAGAGCACTAATATACAAGAATCTTTCAAACAAAGCATGTTTCCTTTTTTGAACTTATTAGATTATGAACTTGAGAATTTCAGTGGAGATATATTCAGAAACCTCTTGTATCATTTAATCATAATGTAAAATCAAATTGTTAACATAGGAAACTTAATTTTATGGCTAGAAATTAAGAATTCATTTATTTTGTTGTTTATTTAAGGATCTGATTATGAGCTAACAGTAATACCAGAGCCATAAGTGTCTTATGTGGAACTCCTGTTTGTTTGTTTGTTTTCTCTGACATACAGAGATCCTGGGAGTGGCAAAAGAAACAATTGGAGTAACAATGGGTGAGAATTTTCAAAAGTAATGGCACATAAAAATCATAGATCCAGGGGCCTGTGCCATGGTACAATAGGTTAATCCTCCGCCTGTTGTGCCGACATCCCATATGCGCACCGGTTCAAGTCCTGGCAGCTCCTCTTCTCATCCAGCTCTCTGCTATGGCCTGGGAAAGCAGTAGAAGATGGCCCAAGCACTTGGGTCTATGCACCCCTCATGAGAGACCTGGAAGAAACTCCTGGCTCCTGGCTTCTAATAAGCTCAGCTCCAGCCGTTGCAGCCATTTAGGGAGTGAACAATCAGATGAAAGACCATTCTCTCTGTCTCTCCCTCTCATGTCTGTAACTCTACCTCTCAAATAAATAAATAAAATATTAGAAAAACAAACAAAAATATCCCATAGATCCAGCAAGTTGAGATTATAATGAACAAGGCAAGCAACAAAAACTTAGACTTGCTCCTATAATAGTGAAACTATAGAAAACAAAACAAGAAGAAAGTATCTGGATAAGATGAAGAAAAAAATACCCTAATTGGGGCCAGCTGTGGCGCAGCAGGTTAAGGCCCTGGCCTGAAGCACCGGCATCCCATGAGGGCACCGGTTCTAGTCCCAGCTGCTCCTCTTCCTATCCAGCTCTCTGCTGTGGCCTGGGATAGCAGTAGAAGATGGTTCAAGTCCTTGGGCCCCTGCATCTGCATAGGAGACCTGGAGGAAGCTCCTGGCTCCTGGCTTCAGATCAGTCCATCTGGGGAGTGAACCAGCAGGAGGAAGACCTCTCTGTCTCTACCTCTCTCTGTAACTCTGTCTTTCAAATAAATAAAATAAATCTTTTAAAAAACCTTAATTATAATAAAATAAAGGAATTAAAATAAACTTCTTGCCTGGAACTATGCAAGTAATAAGAGAATGGAATAAAATATTTTAAAATAAAAGCAAAAATATAAACTAGAATTTGCCATCTGGTGGTATATATATATATATATATATATTTTTTTGACAGGCAGTGGACAGTGAGAGAGAGAGACAGAGAGAAAGGTCTTCCTTTGCCATTGGTTCACCCTCCAATGGCCGCTACGGCCAGCGCGCTGCGGCCAGCGCACCGTGCTGATCCAATGGCAGGAGCCAGGTACTTATCCTGGTCTCCCATGGGGTGCAGGGCCCAAGCACTTGGGTCATCCTCCACTGCACTCCCTGGCCACAGCAGAGAGCTGGCCTGGAAGAGGGGCAACCGGGACAGAATCCGGCGCCCCGACTGGGACTAGAACCCGGTGTGCCGGCGCCGCAAGGCGGAGGATTAGCCTAGTGAGCCGCGGCGCCGGCCATCTAGTGGTATATTTTTCTAAAGTGAAGTAGAAACAGACTTTCTTAGAAAAATAAAAACTAAGAAAATGTATTACCAGCACATCCAGAAATGTTTATTTCAGTATGAAACAAATTTTTCAGAAAGAAGGAAAATTACATGGGTCAGACAATCAGATCTGCATTAAAGGAAGAATCAGTAAAGGATGAATAAAATAAAACTAAGTCAACTTCACTTATTCTGAGTCAGCCTCAGCTAAAGATATTCATATAAACTAATACTAGCCTCAAAGTATGAGATAATCAGAGTGTATAAATAGAACAACCAACAAAGGTTGGCATTGAGGTGCACCAGGTTAAGCTGCCACTTAGTATGCCGCATTGTACATTAGAGTGCTGGTTTGAGTCCTGGCTGCTCCACTTCTGTTCCAGCTTATTGCAAATGCACCTGGGTGGCAACAACTGATGGCCTTAGAACTGGGGTCCTTCCACTTATGTAGGAGATCAGTATGGAATTCATAGCTATAGGCTTTGGCCTGTCCTAAATCTGAGTCTTGTGGGTATTTTAGAGTAAGCTGCTGTGTGCCTCTGTCTTGGTCTCTGTCTTTTCTCCGCCACTCTGCCTTTTAAATAAACAGACCTTAAACAATGATAAATTAAAATACCAATGACAGACACTGCTGTGAGATGGGACAGAATAATTGGAAATCCACTGTGTTAGGTAACTTCGTTATTTATAAATAAGTACAATGTTAATTGAAAGTTATTTTAGTGTAATAAAAATGTGTACTGCAATTCTAGGGTAAACATTAATTCTTTCAAAATATAATTGATGTTTTGGTGGAGGAAATAAAATGGAATCATATTAAGTGTTCAATTAAAACTAGAGAAAGGAAAGAAAAATTTAATTGAAAATTAAAGTGAATATAAAATAGCTATAAACATAATAGATATTCAGTTCTGATGAATAATAGCAAAACGTTAATGCTCTATATTCAATGATTAAAATGTTATTACGGAAGAAATTTTTTTCAACTTTTATTTAATAAATATAAATTTCCAAGGTACAACTTTTGGATTATAGCGGCTTTTTCCCCCCATAACCACCCTTCCACCCACAACCATCCCATCTCCCGCTCCCTCTCCCATCCCATTCTTCATCAAGATTCATTTTCAATTATCTTTATATACAGAAGATCAGTTTAGTATATAGTAAGTAAAGATTTCAACAGACTGCACTCACACAAACACACAAAATATAGAGTACTGTTTGAGTAGTAGTTTTACTGTTAATTCGCCTAGTATAACACATTAAGGACAGAGATCCTACATGGGGAGCAGGTGCACAGTGACTCCTATTGCTGATTTAACAATTGACACTCTTATTTTTGATGTCAGTAATCTCCCTAGGCTCTTGTCATGAGCTGCCAAGGCTATGGAACCCTTTTGAGTTCGCCAACTCCGACCTTATTTAGACAAGGCCATAATCAAAGTGGAAGTTCTCTCCTCCCTTCAGAGAAAGCTACCTGCTTCTTTGGTGGCCCGTTCTTTCCGCTGGGATCACACTCACAGAGATCTTTCATTTAGGTCATTTTTTTTGCGACAGTGTCTTGGCTTTCCTTGCCTGAGAAACTTAGAGAAGAATTTTTTAAAGTCTGAACTATATATTATTTATAAAATAAAACATTTTACATACAATTATTCAAGAGGATTGAAAGTAAAGGATGGATGGCTGGTGTTGTGTGTAACATGTAAAGGTGCCACCTGCACCAGCGGCATCTCATGTGGGTGCCAATTCATGTCCCCGCTGCTCCTCTTCTGATTCAACTCCTGCTAATAGCTTGGGAAAAGCAGCAAAAGATGGCCCAAGTGCCTTGGCCCCTGCTATCCACATAGAAAACCTGGAAGAAACTCCTGGCTCCTGGCTTTGGCCTGGCCTGGACCCGTCGTAGTTGCCCTCTGAGAAGTGAACCAGTGGATGGAAGATCTCCCTCTCTCCCTCTTTCCCTCTCTCTCTGTATCTCAGACTCCCAAATAAATAAATAAATCTTTAAAAAAAAGTAAATAAATGTGTAGATATGGGTAAGATCCTTAATCCAACTAAAACTGAAGTTGCATAATTTAAAGAAAATGAAAGCTGCTATATTAACTTCAGTTGAAGCAAATTTCAGAAAAAAATAAAATTAGCCATGAAAAAATGAGCTTTAATTAATAATATAGAGGCCATTTCTCAAAATGCATGGTAATAGTTAATGTATATTTACCCAAAAATCCAGCATTAAAATATATGAAGCTAAATCTGATAGAATTGTGCATAGATGCAGACAACACACACCTTTCAATAACTGAGACACCACACTGGCAGGAAATAGTAAGGAAGGACTGAGATGACCTGAAAAATACTGGAAATCAACTTGCTCTAATTCAGACTTATAGAATATTCTGGCCAGCAACTGCAGAATGTATATGCTTTGCAAGCTCACGTGAAATGTTTACAAAGATGAATTATGTTTTAAACCATAAAATTCATCTTAACAAATAGGTTAGAATTGATATCTTATAAAATATGTTTTCAAACTGCAATAAATAAATAAAATAAATGAGAAATGAGCAACAAAATAATAGCTGAAAAATACCTAAAATTTGTGGGGAAGTCCTAAACAATACACTTCTAGTTAACATATTAGGCAAAAAGAAGACTCAAGATAAACTAATATTTATCTGTAAGTGAATCAAAGTTATTATTCATCTTATCAAAATTTTAGATGCAGGAAAAGCAGTGTCTAGAGGCAAATCCATAACTGTCAATAAAGTTGAAATAACATACAGACACACATGGTAGGAATCAAAACAATAATATTCAACTATTATTGAGAACTAACACATGTGGATCATATATTCAATGAAAGCATAGCACACGATTGTAGCAAGTACCTTGTCTTAAATTTATCACACACACAAGAATATGATGCTTCCCCAAATTGTGAGAGATTGAAACAAAAGTTTTGATATTTATGTAGACACTAAACTATAGGACTTCAAATCATTCATGAAAAAATTTAATTGAAAGTTGTTTATTTTTGCTTAAAATAACTTTGAAATCTGTATTTACTTCTTTCCTAGTTACATTTTTCATGAACATTTGGGAAACCCTGCATATGCTTGGATTTCAAAACATTTTGTAGCAATTTGATTATTTTTTATTGCATTTCTCCACAAATTTTTTTGAAGTTCTCTTGTATACATGAATTATCTGAACAAAATAATTTATAGGCACCAAAAACCAGCAGTGTTTATAACTAACATTTATACTATTTAAATATAACTACAGTATCAAATGCTATTTTTAAATAATTTTGTACTTATAAGAAAAATGTACATGATTTGAAGCACTGTCTTATTTTATAATTTGGATGAATTATGCTAAATGTAACACTATTTCCAAAATTGGGTTACATTTGATTATTTTGTTTGAGAAAAAGCAATATTTATTGAAAGAGATGGTCACTTAAGTTTGAAAATGTATGCATATATTGCTATTCATTACAAATTGTTCAGTATTTAAGCATTTAAACCTGAGATAAAAAGCCTTTTAAGAAAATAAGAATCGGGGCCTGTGCTGTGGTGCAGCATGTTAAACAGCTGCATACAGTGATGGCAGAATTATGCGTGCAAATTGTATCAAATGCTTTAAGACTTACTTATTAGGAAAAAGTGGATAACTTATTATAAGGCCTTCATATAAATTATGGCAAGACATGAAATGCTTTAATGTATAGTATTGGTTTCTTTATCAAGGTAATAATCATTATAATAGGAAAAATTTTCATTGGAAACAAAATAGTAGGGAGAAGAAACATTGGTTACATTTTGCTTCCAAAATGTAATGCTGCTTTATTTTCTGATTTATCTAAATATTCTCCAAAAGAAATCATCAAAGTATTACTCTTATCAATAAAACAAATCCAGTGTTTTACTGAAGAACTGTGAACCACCATTAATACTAGGTCAAGTATTGTAACATCTTCAAGATTTAAAGAAAGAACAAAGAAGAAAGATCACAAGTGAACAAACAAAAACATAAAATCACAAGAGACATATATTCGAGCTGTGAATCACTGTTTGTCACTGATTTAATTCAACATTATTTCAACTTTAGAATTTAAACTGGATGTGCTAGTTACACTCAGATTTAAAGAGAAGCAGCAAGAAGGGAAATGATTGCTTTGTCATACTCAGAAACCATGTGCAAAAACAAAGTCTATGACACATCCATCATTCAACTGCCCATCAAAAAAACAGGATCTAAAACCAGAATTCCTTTATATCCATGACCTAGTTGATTATGTATCTAATAAATTGGTTGAGTGGATCCGATAAGAGGCATTAAGCCATGTCGGAACATCTATGAAGATATCTTCAGGTCAGATCAGCTATTCCGTGGATATAAAATAACTTCTTTGTCCAATAACATAAAATTTAAATCATAAAATAATCATACTCAAAATAAATACATCTCATTACTAACGACAAAAAGTCAGCATCAAAGTGAATCTAGTGCAATTTAAATATTCTCATACTCTTTCAGTCTCTAGCCAGACTTTCTCATCTGAATCATGTGGCACAGAAAATAATTGAATTACTGCTTTCTCATTTCTAAGATGTTCCACAGTAGATGAAAAGGTGGGGATTAATTCATGTAGGTATATTTATTGGGATACTAATAATTTTTATAAAGAACCACACTTAAAGAAAACAGCAGTGATAACAATGTGGCACTTTCACATGTGGAAATGTATGCCTATATTTGAGTGTATATAAATGCAAGAATGTATATGTAGCTGTAGAAAAATTTTAATGGCAAGTAATTGTTTTTCTCATTTAGTTAAAGAAATGAAAATTCATACTCTGGCTAATAGACCAGAAGTACTCGTTCACAAGACACAGAATTATTCTTTAAAATTAAGTTATCTGAAATTGCAGTTCAGATTTTTTATATTCCCTTTCTCATTTCAAAATCAGTTGTTTCTTATAAATTTTATAAATAATTACATAACTATATTTAATACATGTTTATAACTGAACGACATGTATAACTGGAATTCATGATCCCAAATAAACAATCAATATCTATTGAAGTGTATTCTAAAATTAGAAATGGTACAATCAATATTGAAAATATCATTCAGTGTATAATGATGCAGCAAGAGATATACAGACAAACTGGGAACTTTTATTGAAAAATATCTGTATCACAAATACTGTATTGTTGAAATTAACAATCTCAGTTCTTCCAAATAAAATCTCTTGGATGATTATTGTTTGAAAGTTATGTTTCTGCTGAAGAGTAGAGTATTATAATAACAAAGATATAAATAAGATCAATTTTATTTTTCCAAGACTACTGTGATGCTGTGATATTTCTGCTCTCTAAAGTCCTTAGCAACTAAAGGCTTTTTTCTTTAGTCTGAAGGATGACATCATTATGATGCTTACCTTATTATGAAACTTATCAGCAGGCTATCTCAAGAGTCAACTCAGTGGTCATATGTTCTATTCCACAAATTTATTAGCGATTACTTTTCAGTTCTATTCAGAGAGTAAGTGGGACTATGATGCTGTTGCTAGAACTCATCAGACATGACTGAGAGCTTTGAGTTTGTGATGGCCTAAAGAGTCATTCAAAGTTTGACCAAAAGATTTATTTATTTATTTGAAAGGCAGAGTTACAGAGAGGCAGAGGGGAGAGAGAGAGAGAGAGAGAGAGAGAGAGAGAGAGAGAGAGAGAAAGCAGTCTTTCATCGGTTGGTTCACTCCCCACATGGCTGCAACGGAGGAGTTGGTCCGATCTGAAGCCAGGAGCCAGGAGCTTCTTCTGGGTCTCCCACGTGGGTGCAGGGGCCCAAAGTCTTGAGTCACCTCTGCTGCTTCCAGAGCTGGATATTTCTACCACATTTATCTTTCACTGGATAGAGGCTGCTTTGAACATGTGATGATCTAATTTAAACTTTCATATATCATTAAGCAGAAAGGTTTGAACGATAATACTGTATGTACCATATTTTTAAAACTTAAAGCTTTAATCAGTACTTATGTTTGTTTAATTAGTTTGAACTTATTAACACTGTGACTCAAATGAAATCATAAAATGCATATTTATTCTGGATATTAATTTATTCAGCTCATACTGTGAGGGCTATTTATTAAAATGAATAAAAAGGAGGAGCCAAGATGGCCAAATAAAGATGCTCTCTACTCATTTTGTTTTGGAAAGACAAAAAAAGAACCAAACCAGTAGCTGGATAAGTGCACCTTGAAGTGTGTGTCTTAGCAAAGGAGAGAATGGACTCTGTGGGATACAGAAGCCAGGAATGACAGCACAGAAATGGAAACAGGGCACACTGGTGGTGTAATCCCCACTCCCTAGATGGGAGCATTTGTCAGTGCAGAGGAAAGGGTCACAGGGAATCCCAACAGACCAAATCACAGTGGATACTGGCAAATCTAGGTGTGGAAAAGCTCTATGGTGACTTGTAGGCTTGCAGCTACACTGTGAGAGCTGACTGGTGTGTGCACAATAACTTTACTTCATTCAAAAATCCCACTCTGTCTCCCTCAAACCCCAGATTCCGTCTTGAAAAAAAAAAAAAAAAAAAAAAAAAACAAAAAACAAAAAAAACAAACAAACAAACAAACAAAAAAAACAAAAAAAACCTTGTCTCTAGCCTCTGCCATTGACTAAAAGCAAGTGACCAGAAACAGAACAGCAATCTCTCCAACCTCTTCTGCCTCACCTTGGTGCATGTCAGCAGCCTCTGTCAGGGACTGTCCCATTGCTGAGAAGGGAGCGCTGCTACTCACTCACCCTTCCTCCCTTAGCTGGTGGCATTTCCATGATCTCTGAAGAGGACGGAGAGCAGCTGATGAGAGTGAATGCTTTGATTTCACCCACCACTTCCCTTTCAGCTGACTGCTTTTCTTCTGACAGTGCTAGAGATGTGAAGTGGGTATAGGAAAGTTGCGGATACACTTTGCCAGGCCCCTGCAACCAGATGTTTGTGGACCTGAATGCATGCTACAGTTGAGATCAAGAGCTGTTCCCCACAGCCCTCCTTAAACTCATACCACCTCCTTCTTTACCCCTCTGCTCATGGAACAGTGTGTTTGTGCTACAAATGCCTCCCTCCCACTGGGCCAGCAGTCCAGGAGAACCCCTCTGATAGAAGATCATGTTCCAGAAGAATCAAGAGAAAAATCCATCCTGATCCAAGTGCTGCCACGCTCACTACCACAGTGCCCTCATAAGGGATACCCCTCCCTTCACTGCTGTTTATATCATACCAGTCTGGGTGGTTAGACTCTCCCAACATTCCATGAGTCCTGGCAACAAGGTTCTCTGTGAATGCATGGATTGAAATGGGAAAATGATATAGAGAATACATTACAGAATCCAAGGGGAAACACTGTTTTAACATTGCTTATCAAACTGAGACCCACTGGTCACATCTTCAGAAGAAAGTAGATTAACATGAAAGCCATCCAATAAAAAAGCATGATTGACCCATCATAGGTACCCTTGGGGGCTACAAGTGATATGAAAATACAAGGCAACATTACACTTCCAAAGGAACATGTTATATTTCTGGAAACAAATTCCAAAGAAAAAAATGATTGATAAAATATCTGATAAAGAGTTCAAAATAATGATTATAAAAATGCATAAGAAAATACATAGCAGACAGATGAAATCAGAAAACAATGCATAATATGATAGGAAATTCAGCAGAGAGATAAAAAATCTTAGAAAAGAATCAAACTGATATCTTAGAAATAAAAAACTTAATAGTGATATTAAAAATACATTTGAGGGGCCCACACTGTGGAATAATAGGTTAATCATCTGCCTGCAGCACCAGCATTCTACAAGGGGGCCAGTTTGTGTACCAATTGCTCCACTTCTGATCCAGCTCCCTGTTGAATGCCTGATAAAGCAGTGGAAGATGGTTCAAGTGCTGGAGCCCCTGCACCTAAGTGGGAGACTAGAGGAAGCTCGTGGTTCCTTGATTTGGATCGGCCCAGCTCAGACCATTGTGGCCATTTTCTGCCATCTGGGGAGTGAACCAGTGGATGGAAGACCTCTCTCTCTATCTCCCTGTCTCTATCTCTATGTCTCCCTCTCAAGTGAATAAATAGATCTTAAAAAATGCATTTGAGGGGCTGATGTTGTATATAGTGGGTAAAACTGTCACCTGTGACACCAGGTGCTCCACTTCCACTCCAGGTCCATGTTAATGGGTTGGAAAAAGCAGTGGAAGATTGCCCAGTTCTTTGGGTCTCTGCCAACCATGTGGGAGAACTGTGTGAATCTCCTGGCTCCTGATTTCAGTCTGACCCAAGCTTAGTCATTGCAGCCACTTTGGGAAACAAGTGGATGGAAAAATTTCTCTCTCCCCCATTCTTGGGAACTTCAACTTTGAGATAAATCAATCATTAAAATATATGTAGTTGAAATCCTTAACCGTGGGCTCAACCAAATAGAAGAAAGAAATATCCAAATTTGAAGACAAGTCACATGAAATAGCTCAGTAACACAAAAAAGAAGACCAAAAAAAGAAGGAAAATGAGGCTGGCGCCGTGGCTCAATAGGCTAATCCTCTGCCTTGCTGAGCCGGCACACCGGGTTCTAGTCCCGGTCGGGGCGCCGGATTCTGTCCTGGTTGCCCCTCTTCCAGGCCAGCTCTCTGCTATGGCCCAGGAGTGCAGTGGAGGATGGCCCAAGTCCTTGGGCCCTGCACCCCACAGGAGACCAGGGTGGGCACCTGGCTCCTGGCTTCGAATCAGCATGGTGAGCCGGCCGCAGCGCGCCCGCTGCAGCAGCCACTGGAGGGTGAACCAACGGCAAAAGGAAGACCTCTCTCTGTGTCTCTTTCTCTCTCACTGTCCACTCTGCCTGTCAAAAAAAAAAAAAAAAAAAATGGGGAAAAGGAATGAAGACAGCTTCTTATAAGACTTATAAGACTTGGGGACACTGTTAATGAATAAATATGAGAATTGTAGGAATCCCTGAGACAGAAGAGTATTGACATTGAAAATGCATTCAACGCTATGGAGAATGACATGGAAATCCAAGCACAGAGGGTCATAGGTCTGCAAACAGAAATGGCTAAAATGGATTTTTATCGTGACACCTTAAATCAAAATCGAAAAGCACAACACAAAGACAAGTTTAAAACTGCAAGAGAAAATTTACAACACACAGGGAAACATCTTTAGAATAATATCAGATTTTTCAACAGGAACAAAATTAAATGCAACAAAAATGAGAAATGTGCCCTAAAATATTTGATCTTTATTTAACATGCTTTTAGGAAAACATTAAGGATTTATTTAATTCCCATGTTATTTCACCTTCAATCCTATTTGATGTAAATGTGTGAGATCTAAGCAAACTCTTTTCTTTAATCAATAATGGAATATTATATTCCCAGTATTGCCATCATCAATGAGCACTTTTAGAGTTTTGATATTTTTTTCTTGGTGAGGTGTTATAATATCCAAGAAGTTCAAAACAATGACTAAGTCATATTTAGGTAAACTGATTATTTTTATACACTATCATATATTTTTGAGCTAAATTATATATTTGAAATTAATTTTTGGCAACTTTGAATGAATGAGGAAATAAAACTTTATTAAAATGCAACCACAAGAGTATTTCATTGGAAAATGAAATATTCAGAAATATACTAATATTTTTCAACAATGCATCTTATACAATAATTTAATTCATTATTCTGAGAACTGTTTAAAGCCCTTTCAAAATGCTTCTAAAACATTTGCAATAAAATCTATAAAAATATGATTACATTTGATAGTCATGCTTGTAGCCTTTGATATTTCATTTTTTAAAACATTGTTAAGAGGAACATGAAACATTCTGCTCTAGAATATTTGTCAATATAGCCTGGGAGAATGAGTCTTCCCTGCAGCTGGATTTTCACAAATAACATAAATTGTTAAAAATGCAATTGTTAGTTAATAAAAGTCACTCCCTTACCACCACCTTGTAAAAACACTTTTGGGTAGCCAGTTTCAATCTGTCTTGCCATCATGTCATGACCTACACAAAAACTCATTCATTTGAGACTTGATATAGCCTTAAACGACTAATTTTTGGGCAGTGTGCCTTCTTTTTTAAACTGACCCTATAAATTAGATTTTTGCTTGCTTTTACTTTTTGCCTTAAGGGCGATAGTTATAGGAAAACGATTACTTCAGTAGTCACTGAGGCAAGTAGATAAGTTTAAACATAAAGAAACATGCATGTCTGAACTAACGAATTTGTATATTTCGTATCCAGAACAAGTTATTTTAAAATTGGGTGATTTTAGTGTTATTACAATGATAATTATTTAGAGCTTTAAATTCAATTCTAATCCATCTGAATATCTTTATTCCTTTAATATACTATTTGGAGAGTCATTTCACAATATGTTATTTCTCTGATATTGAGTTAATATTATCAACAATAATAAAGATGAAAGTGATGCACTATTTGGTAATCACCTTTATTCACTATATGAAATCAGTTATTCTCAAATAAATTTTACTTCCCATAATATGTAATCATTTTAAAATATTCCAGTAAATTATTGGAAGTTACAGTTACATTATATCTTTTTTTAAAGATTTTTTTATTTATTTGACAGGTAGATTTATAGACAGTGAGAGAGAAAGAGAGACAGCGGGAAAGGTCTTCCTTCCATTGGTTCACCCCCCACAATGGCCGCAATGGCCGGAGCTGTGCCAATCCAAAGCCAGGAGCCAGGTGCTTCTTCCTGGTCTCCTATGCGGGTGCAGAGGCCCAAGGACTTGGGCCATCTTCCACTGCTATCCCAGGCCACAGCAGAGAGCTGGACTGGAAGAGGAGCCAAGGGGACTAGAACTGGCACCCATATGGGATGCTGGCACCGCAGGCAGAGGATTAACTTAGTGTGCCATGGTACCAGCCCCTACAGTTACATTATATCTTAAAGTTTTATTTAATTTTTAATTAGACTTATGTGCTAATGAATGAACCAGAAAAACAAACCACTATATTTTATGGTATCTATGATGCTTCTTTATTTACTGGCTCAGCACTACTCATTTTTTTCTTTATGTAAATCTATTTCCATTATCCTACTATGACATAATATTTTCTAAATTCTTATAAATATGAGCCTATTTAGCTTGAAACTTCACAGTATCATTGGAACATAAAATATGATAAAACAATATATTGGATGTTTCATGTAGGTTTATGAGCTTTGTTAATCTACTAAAAGTTTGTATAACATAGACAAATCCAAGTTATGCAGTCACATCCAATTCTCACTTCTATTAACTATAAGTTATTTATTCTTGAGGTAATTAAAGTGGCCTGGGAGTAGTAATGACAAGAGAAATGTCTTTATGCATGTCTACTATTTACCAAAGAAAAATAATATTGTCCTAAATGGACATTTTCAACAATTTTTATATTCTTTATATTCATCAATTGTAACACATAAGATACTTATTAAAATATGAAAGAATTTTCACTTATATTTGTCTCATTATTAATATTTACCAATAAGAACATAACTAGGAAAGAGTTTTAAATGTTCCTTAATTTGAATATTATAAAGGTAAAAAAATTGTATGTTAATATAATAACTTTAAATGCTTGATCAATTGTGAGTGGATTTTTGTAGAGAGTGTAAGATAAGGTCTTGTTTTATACTTCTGCATTCATAGATCCGATTTTCCCAAAACCATCTGTTGAAGAGACTATCCTTTCTCCAAGAATTGATTTTAGCTCATTTTTCAAAGAATAGTTGGTTGCAGATGAGAGGATTAATTTCTGGAATTTCTGTTCTGTTACACTGGTCTACATGTCCATTTTTTTATTTTTGCCAGTACCATGCTGTTTTCATTATAACTTCCCTGTAGTATGTCTTGAAATCTGGTATTATGATGCCCCTGACTTTATTTTTGTTGTTTAAGAATGGTTTAGTAATTCGGGGTCTCTTGTGTTCCAATATGAATTTTAGTTTTCTTTTCTAGATCTAAGAAGACTGTCTCTAGTATTTTAATTGGGATAGCATTGAATCTGCAAATTGTTTTAGAGAG